TCGTCCAAGTCTTCTGTGGCATTTCACGAGGCAAAGCTAGTCTCTGAAACCATCTACAATGCAAACAGCCGGACTTGTGGTCTTATCAATTTTGAATTACTCCATGTTAAACAAAAGAAAGCTACAAAAGAAAATAACAATCGCCTGCAAGGTTTTTTTTTCAAAAACAACAGCAACCAAAAAAGCGGGCCACCACAAAGCCCCCTGGTTACCATGTAGCAGGCTCAGTCCTGCGCTTTCGGCACCGGCCCCAGGTCCCGACCCTTCGGCCTGGAGCGGGGAGCCCTGTGGGGCCGTTGCTGGTTTAGCCCATAGTCTGCACGGGACCGTCCAAACCGGTGATACCAGGGTGATAGGTCCCATGGGTAATGCATTGCAATAGGTATCTGGTCTTGATTGAGTGAAGGTGGGTAATAAGCTGCCAATTGGGCGAAGTTTGTTTAAGGAGTGAATGAAAGATTAAAAAGAAGCGCTGGCTTGCCCGCTGGAAACCTAGAGTAAAGCACTCTCCATTGAAAGCGATGGTATGGCCCTATGGTGGCCCCCCCCCCCCAGATTTTACAGGTAGGAGTTGTAGGATTTTTGAGCCTTTAGTGCTGGGAACCATGCCCCTCGAGGGCACTTCACAATTACCTGGGTGTTTTGACGTCCCTCCGTAGTTGCTGCTGTGAGCCCACGTGGGTGCGTGTTTTGGTTGAGGGTACCTTTTTTGGTGTGGTGTTTAAGGGCAGCCCGAGAGAACCCCATTTTGGGAGTTCCCTATTTGAAGAAACGCACCCATATGTGGTCAAAGCGTGTTGCGTTTTTCTCTCTTTTGCAGCGCCCCACGATCCCGCACAAGAGTTGCGCAAAAGCCCAGCCATCCGCACTTGTCCAACAGCTCCTGGATCATGAGAACTTGCCCAAAGCCAACCCGTTGACCTTTTGTTGGTCCCCTGTTGATCATTTGTGTTTAGTCAAGGTTCCAAAAGGTTAACCCGTTATTTCCAGGCCCTGGCAAGTGTACACTAGTTTCTGCTTCCGAGTCTCGGTTATCCTGTTTCTCGACATCTCGCTTAGGCTGGATGGTGCCTTGGTGGTGGATCTAGCTGATGAAGGCGCGGTCAGTGGTTGCCCGTACCGTACTGGATACAACGGCAGAAAAAAGGCGTCCGGTCCAGGTGGTAACCAGCTATTTCCGTGTTAAAGTGAGATATTTCAGGCTGCTGCACTTACATGAGAGTGGTTGTCGAACATACGTTTCATCGCGACCCCGATATTTGCTTCAAATTCCAGTTACCGCTATAGTAGGTAGCCAGGTATGTTTACCTCTAGGTCTTACATGATGGTTTCCCCTGGTCTCCCACTGGAATCGCTTGTGAACAAGTCGGCTGCCGCTTTCCGCGGAGAGCTGCAGGTGCGGCTATTCCTGCGGGCGTTCAGATCGGCTGGCGTGTGCTGGAGGCGCCCGACGCTGTCAGCACACCGGGTGAGCTGTTTGTTGCAACTGGCTGCTTGTGGTTTCGCAGCTGCTAACCAAAAAACAAACTTTAATTATTCGAGAAGGGGACAACCAGCTCTGGTTGGTTTCTTTTGCGCCTTCCTTCAAAGAAAAGAGGGCCATCATGTTTTGGACACACCTGGATTTTCGAGCACTCCACAAGGATTCACATCAGGCATTGGCAACATTCAAGGTGCCCCCCAGAGTTTCGAGCCTGAGGGGAAACATGCTTCGAACTCAACTCAATGAGCTTTGCTCGTGGTGCATTTGCAAGGTCAATGGCCAACCCGTGCCGGAAGACGACGTCGGGATGGCTGCCCAGGCGCTTGGCCTTTGCATAGACTGGGTGGGCCCCTCAAAGTGAACATTCGGAGGGGTTTTCAACAAATTGGGAGGGGGAGTTTCTCTCAACCACCAGGTCCACCAGCTAGGTGCCCTTTCTCACCAGGGTTCCCCTACTAAAACAAACTACAGAAAAAAGGGTACCCTTATTCTAACCTCTCTACTGGAGGACCTAGACCATTCAGAGTGTAGCTTTTGTGTGACGGATCCAGGTTGGCTTGGTGCTGGCACATGCGGACGATCAGGAAGCATCAGACGCCGTGGCTCCTCCCCACCCTGGGCCTCCTAAAACAACATGGGGCACGTAAACGGATGGGCGCCACGGCGCCAAACCCAATGGTTCAGCCCCTTGTAAAGCCTCCTTTGAGTCTTTCCAGCAAAACAGGTTTATGGTTTCCAAGCCCACCTTTGGGCGTAAACAAGCTCATGATGTATATCCTTTCATTGCTTAGGGATCCGAATCTGACTTCAGGTTGTGCGACTTGTAGAATTCATTGGGACACTTGACCAAAACTGCCGGCCAACAACCAGGATGTCCGGAAAGAATGTCCTGTAGCTGTGCAACAAAACCTCCAAGATGTGGAGCTGTTTGGCATCCGCTACTCACAATATGTCTGCCACAGGCGATCCGAGAAGCCGAGGAGAAGATGGCGAAGAAGAGTGGAAAGGCCCGGGAAGTTGACGAATCGAATTTCTGAGGGGTCGGCGGTTCCCAGCGAATCGTCCGGTTCCTTAGGTTGTTGGGTGTTTAGGGTTTAGTGTGGCGGGGTTCCATTGAACCCACTGAGCTTCTAGCAGATCTGAGGACAGCCGAGTTTATTGCCCCATGGTCATGACTGCAGTTAGTTTTATGGTATCCCAAAACACATGTTCATTGATTGTAGCCACTTAATGTAGACTCTTTCCAATGGACCTGGACAGACGCTTCCGAAATGAAAGTGGTCTTCCAGAAACTTTGAATCCGCTAGCCTTTCTTAGGGTTTGGTTTCAAACCAGTTGCCGGGCTCGAAACTGGGCAGAAAACAGCAGGAGACCCCTTTCATGAACCCAGGGTTTATGAATCTGTGCCCATTTACGGTCCGGGCCATGTTTGTTCGAACCCAAGACGACTCACCCCAGCTGTTTCCTTTTGGGGGCAACCTTCCCACATAGTGTTCCATTTGAAGAAAAAATGTAGTGCGCAAGGTTCAAGCGTTTTCGTTGGGGTGAAATCTGCCCAGTGCCCGTGAACATCAAGACTTATCGTTGTATGCCCAGTGGCTTTGAGGTTCCCAAACATCAAAACCTTTTTCCTCAAGCCTTAACCCCATGGTCAACCCTAAAAAACCCCATGATCAACCCAAGAAAATGAGTTCCATTGTCAACCCCCACCCCCTTTTTCCCTGCGACAGATCCGATGTCCCAGGCCTCAGTCTCCGTGAGCTTCATTACAGAGGACAGGAAACGGGGCCCACGACCAGCTCCTGGCCCGGGCATCGTGGTCCCCCCCCCGTTTTTCCCCCAAAAAAAAGCCCACAGAAGAAGCGGCCAAGTGGTTGAAGCAAACAGGGACTTCTTAAAAAAAAAAAAAAAGTTTTCTTGCAAGTTGATTGTTGTCCTTGTTCTTGTTCTTGTTCCTGCTCTTGTCCGCCAATTTCTTGTTCAGAACATCTCGCTCCCGTGGCCCCCCGGAAGCGGCCACGCTCGCAGATTTGACGCCTGGGTTTGGGACCCCAATCGGCTTGGCCTCATCGGTCATCTCAAGGCTTGGCCTCATGGGTTTGGGTCTTAAAATAGGGGGGGCACGGTGCCCCCATTTTGGGGTGTTGGGTCCTTTGGTGCCCCACTCAACCAATTTCCTTTCCTTGAGCCTCGCCCCTGTGACACGGTTTAGGTGCTATGAAACCAAGCCCAAAACGGGTGCCCTCAAAAAGCAAAGACTGCCGAAAACAAAAAAGGCCAAGCGGTCCGTCGAAGGTCCGAACGCCCGGCGCGGTGCGGCTTTTCTCCGGCCGCAGGAGCCGGAGAACTGGAAACAGGCGTCCAAGAGGCTCGCCCGAGGCGCCCGGATTGGTGGGCCGAGCTCAAAAACTCAACCAGGGGACGAGAGGTTTTAGTCCATGTTTCTATTCACCAGGGGAGCCAACCCATTGCGGGCACCTATTGTTGACCCACAGCCAAATGTTGGTGGCATTTGCAAAGGAATATGAGTGAAAACAAACATCTCTGTTGTGGTTGGGTGCCTTAGTTGGGCGAAGACAACCTGTTGATTTGTGGTTATCTACTTGAAATGTTCAGTGACAACCCAACAGATTGAGGTAGTATCTATATTATATGCAGATGTGTTTGTTTGCCGTCTTGGGGTCATGAAGACGAATATTCCAGGACCAAAGGATACAGATATGAAAGTCATATTATATAGGGCAGCAAAGCGATCGATTGTTGATGGCATACCCTATCTCATGACAAGACATTTATAGAGCATAACATGTGAAAGATGAGAGTAATATATCAAACAAGCATAACACAAACATAATTCACATACAATATATATATATATATAGTATATGTGGTGTTGTTAAACAAACAAATATATCTAGAGGCAAGCAACTGACAAGGTTATTAGCAGTCGATTGTTAGTTTGGGCAGTGCGTGTGCTTCCGCATGCACTAGACCACAACTGGGTGTGGTTCTCTTTTTTGAGTCGGCAGGCGGTCTTGAAGGGAAACCCAAAAGCACACCAACCAGTTTTTGAGGGGGGGCAACCCAAAAGAAAGACACCCAAATGGCTTCATCACAAGAACCACGTCTCTTTGGGTCAGGCATCCTATCCCATGTCGGCCAGGCAACTAAGCCCGAGCCCGCGGAAAAGGAAAAGAGAGCGGACGCCGCGCGAGTGCGAAAGCCGCGGCGCTTGGGAAGTGACAAATTGACCCGGAATGGGGTTGGCTCAGAGACCGCTGGTTTTAGTCCTTGGTTCTATTTGCCAGGGTTGTTGGCATTCATAAGGAAAAACAACTCCCAAAAGTGATTTTGGGAAGCCCTCACAATGTTCACTTCAACGGGTCAATGCCGTGCCCCTAAAAGCTGCTTCCCCACCAAAAGGAAAGCGCAGAAAACTCTTTCTTGGGAACACTAAACTATGCGGTCATTTCGGGTTGGTGCATTCTCACAGTGAGGGAATCCGCCCGATGTGCAGGCAGCTCACAGTGCCCATCAAGCCTGCGGCCTTAGTCAAGTCATGTCCAAAGGCGGGCACTAAGGTGGTTAGTAACCGCAACTCCCACTGAGACCCACTAAAATGGGTGTAACCATGGTTACTAGCCACTTTCAGTACCTTGCCCCTTTGCTGCGAGTGAGAGTCTCGAGTCGGAAACAAGCATGCGGATAGGAGTCAGAAGAAGTTCTACACGAATCGCGGCCTGGCAAGCTTCAAGGGAAGACCGCGGGATGCGACCGCGGGGGGAGGGATGCCTTCAGTGCATGCGCTGTCAAGGATCTACCTACTATCCCTTGATAAAGCCCATGACGCCTCCGCTTACTCACCATGCTGGCTGCTCAGTTCGCGACATTTGGCGGAGAGTTTCGAGTGATTGTGCTATGATCATGGATCCCTGTCAAGAAGCAACCCATCTCTCAAGGTACCGATGCCAGATGTGAAATCATAAATTCAATGTCAGAAAAGAAACAATATCTTTATATATCAGTTAGATTTGAATATCCAATAATTATATGTTTATGTATAATTTAATTGTAACTACATTAACATTTATATACAGATATACATGATATTTTGTAATAAATAATTCGGGTGTATTTATATTTGCGATTTTTGGGGAGGAGAAGGGATATATGAATATGATATGAAAGTTTAATTTATATTAAATACGTTATGATATTTGGTGGGTGGGTGTTTTGGATTGGGTTGGTTTGTATTTTTTGTTATTCCCCACCCGATAGGAAGGGGTTGTTAGATTTTATGTTGGAATGCACGTTTGCGATGCTTTTACACCACGCCCCCCACCCAGTATGCCGCTAGAGCAGCTCTCCAGTGGATCCCGTCAAGTATCCCGCTAGAGCAGCTCGTTAGTGGATTCCGCCGAGTATCCCGCTAGAGCTGCTTGTTAGTGGATCCCGCCCAATATGCCGCCAGAGTTGTTCGCTAATGGATCCCGCCGAGTATCCCACTAGAGCGGCTCGCCAGTGGATCTCGCCAGTGGATCCCGCCGAATATCCCGCCGAGCCGCTCGCTAATGGATCCCGCCGAGTATTTTGCTAGAGCGGCTCGCCAGTGGATTCCGCCGAGTATTCTGTTAGAGAGGCTCGCCAGTGGATCCCGCCGAGTATCTCGCTAGAGTAGTTCGTTAGTGGATCCCACACAGTAGCTCGCTAGTGGATCCCGCCGAGTATCCCGCTGAGTATCCTATACAGTAGCTCGCTAGTGGATCCCGCCGAGTATCCCGCTGAGTATCCCTTGCTAATGGATCCTGCCGAGTATCCTCCCAGTATCAAGCCGGAGCGGCTCGTCATTATTCGCTAGTGGATCCCGGCGCGTAGTGGGGCTGCCCTCGTGTTTTGCGAGAGATCGGAAAGGGAAGCTTTTGTGTTGCTTTGGGTTGTGAATAAGAAACTTCGTTTAATCCCCCGTCAGGTTTGTATTTGGAAGGGGCTTGGCTTTTGTTAACGGAACCGATTCTCGAGATCAGTTCGCAGACAAGTGGAGTTTGACGGTCGTAAGCTCGTGAGTGTGGAGGGTGGGGGTTGCTCGAAGCGAAGTAATTTAATAGTTTTGTTAAAATAAAGTATGCGAATAATGATATTTGTTTAATTTATATTTTGTATTAAAAAATAAACGAAAAGTGGGAATAAATGTTATGGTTTAATTTTGTAATAAATAAATTTAGGTTATATGTTTAATAATATATGGTATTGTTTTTAATATGTATGTTATTTTATATATAATGTTGATGGAATTTATATGGAATTTTATTTTAAGGTCATATTTTAAAATTCTTAATTATTGAGAATTATATAGTAGGCATAAATAAATATAATATTATTATTATGTTTTTGGAAAGAACATATTAATGATTTGGGGTAGGATATATTATATTTGTTTGGTGTTGAAATAATATTTAATTATTTAAATAATTTATTTATTTTATGATTTTATTTGAACTATATAATTATATTTATAATCTCTTTTTTTTATGAATGAATTAATCTTAATTAATAAAAAAAACATGGAAATCCGGGATTCGGGATTAGATTTCTATTTTGTATAATTGATTTTTTTATTGCTAATATTAAATTAATATTAAAATTCATATTTACTAAATTTTTAGGTTTATTTTTAAAGAGGTAGGTTCTTTAAAGATGAATTCTTTAGAAGGTTGTTTCCCTATAAATTGGTTTTGTTATTGGGTTTTTTATTGGGGTGGTATTTTTTAAAAGAAAATATGTTCCTAAAAATTATTTAGTTATGATTATTTATTTCCCATATTTAATTTATTTGGCTGCAAAAAATAACCATACACAATTTCCTTATTAGATTATTTATTCGTGGATTTTACAATTTAATCTATTTCCTCCAAATCTTATGTCAAAAACCCTAATTTAAAAAACAAAAAACAATGGGGGGGAATTATATATAATAGGGGGCCGTATTTATTAATAGTGGGAAGAGATTAGTTGAAAGAATGAAATATATGTATTTATTATGGGGTCGCGGAAGAGGATGGAAGGGCGAACGGGAATTTCGCGAAAGATAAATTTCTATTATGGGATGAAATTTTATTCGTATATTATACGAGTATTGAAAAATTGTATTATTTGAAATGGGATGGTTTGTATTTTGTTAGAATGAATTTGATATATTGAATTATATTGAAATAGACATTAAATCCTAATCGATATAATTCCGAAACGATATTGTGTAGTGTTTAGCATTAATTGAGCTATTAAATCTGGCATTAATTCGGCGAGTTATTTTTTTAATTCTCATAGTAGAAGTTATAGAAATATACATATATGGGAGCGTAAAATATGTTTTGGCATTCGCTTCTTTCGGAAGTGTTTGTTAAATCCGCCGATCCCTTTCTCAAAAGGGAAGGCGCACGGGAAGGGTTTGTCTTTCTCCTGTCTTTATTCTAAATGATAATTATTATTATTTTACATTATTCGGGTTATTACACCATGGCGTTTTTTCATACGTTTTAAGTGTCGTGTTCGACCCGATTGGAAATTTAGAGGATATGTTGTTATGATTGTTATGATAATTGTTGCGGTGATGCTAAGGATATATATGATGACGAACATGATGAGGAACATGATGAGGAACATGATGATGAAAGGATGATGATGATGATGATGAACATGATGATGAAAATGAATTATAATAAATATGATGATGAAAATAATGATGATTATTGTGATTAGGTTTATGTTTATAATTATATTCCTTATTGTTGTTATTATAATTATTATTATTAGGATTGTCGTTATAATGAGGACAAAATGATGAATATAAGAATAATAATGATAAATAATACTGAATATAATAAAAATGATAATAGGTATGATTATATTCTTTATTACTAAAATTATTATTATTTCTTTTTTATATATATTTTAAGTATTTCATTAGACCTAATTGGAAGATATATTGTTATGATTGTTATAATAATTGGTAGAATAATAATATTAATTAATAATAATAAGGTTATGATATAGGTAAAACCACATGTTCTAATATGTGTCTAAACATAAATCAATTTCCGTAAAATAAAAATAAAGTAAGCTAAGAGGAAGAGCTAGTATAAAAAAAAATAAATAAACTAAGAATAGGGCGAAGACGAGACGAAGAGCAAAACGAACAAAAGGAAGAATTATTTTACAAATTCTGCCATGGTAATTAAAAGGACAGCCGAATATAATGGTTAGAGTGGTTTTTAAAGTCCAAAATATACGAAACGTCAAATTTTGGATCCCATTGTTTTTTTTGAATGCGTTTTTCCACAAACTCTGCCATGGGAATCAAACAGACAGCTATGCCAGAGTGCTTTCAAAGTCCGAAGCATGATAAATTTTGTCGTGGGAATCAAAAGGATAACCGAATATAATACTAGAATATTTTCGAAATCCGAAACGATCCAAAAAAGCAATCTCTGTTTTTCGTACGTTTCGATAACTCTATTACGGAAATCAAAAGGACAGCCAAATCCAAATATGCTGCCCAAATGCTTTTCGAGATCCACAATGAAAAAAAATAAAAATACAAAATAAACAATCACAAAATTTATAGTGTTTTTAAATATATTTCTATAAATAAATTAAATCCATCCCGTCTCTTAATCTTTTCTATGAGGTATAAGGGAATGGACAAGAATAAGAGAAGCGAATGGGATATGGCCGGGTAAACGGTTAATATTATTCTTCGTTCCTTCTGTTCATGAATAAACAAGATATAAAAATCTAATTCTTAGAATCTTTCTAGACCTCTTCCCTTCTTTTTATGTGTTTTTTAGTTATTAAGGGCTACCGCCCTGTGGTACCGGCCCCTGCTTGCTGACAATACACATTGTTATGACAATTATGATTGTATATGTTTTATCGGGTTTAGCGCCATACTAAAACAGACATAAAAAAGCAGACCATTACGACAATAACAATATTTCTATTAATGTAATTGTTTACCTAATATAAGGACTACTAATAATATTTACCGTATATTCGCATTATCTGCAATAATTACAATAATAATTGTTATTTTGCATTTTTAGCATCATCAACAATTATTTTAATAATTATAACAATGCATTCCCTATATCTCAAACAAACCACTACGAGATAAATTCGCATAGCAATAAACACCTTGTTGAATTTTACAAGAAATGCCCCCGGGTACGTGGAAATTCGGACTAGGGGGCCTTTTTTCTTCTCAAGATTTCGATATATTACTATGAATATGAAATATGGATTCTATATCATTACTTTACCTTCGTAAGAAATAAACTATTAAGAATACCTCGGGATAATGGTAATAACAATCATAATAATAATAAATTCTATATTCCCGATATCATTAATAACTATTATGCATTCTCTCAAATTAGGTCTAACCACATACTTAAAAATAAACAGAAAAAACCACCACAATTTAAATAATAAATATCATAAACCATATAATAATAAAAATAAGAAAACATATAATAATACTAATAAACATAATAATAAAAATGGTGGTAGTCATTATCATCATCTTCATCATCATCAATATTAATTTTATTCTTATATTCCTTATTATTATCCTAATAATAATCATTATTATGTATCCTCAACATCAAAAATCAATAATAAATATTATCTCCCTAATATCAATAACAATTATTATAAGAATTATAACGATATATCCTCTATATTTTGAATCGTGTCTAACGGCATACTTAAAACATATATCAAAATCAATATCGCCAAGATTTAATTATCAGAATAAACAAAATAATAATACAAATGCTAATAATATTAACAATAATCATAATAATAATAAAAATAAAAATATAAAAATAATAATAATATATATCAACAATATCATGTATATTATTATATATATAATCATTTTCATATTCATTATTATATTTATCTTTTAATATTATATATAAATAAAAGAAATATAATATATTA